GAATGCAGGGCCTCTTCCTCGTATCGACGATCTTCTTGAGCGATTGGCTGGCACGAAGTATTTTTCTAAGTTGGATTTGAAGTCGGGATATCATCAGATTTCGGCCGAACGATCGCCACAAATCTGCGTTCAAGACGCGGTATGGGCATTTTGAGTGGGTGGTCATGCCTTTTGGCCTCACCAACGCCCCAACGACCTTTAAAGCGGCAATGACCAACGAGTTTCGTGCAATGTTGGACCGGTTCGTGCTGGTATACTTAGACGGCATTCTCGTCTATAGTCGGACATTGGAGGATCATCTTGAGCACCTTCGACGAATGCTGGAGACGCTCCGCCGTGCCAAGTACAAAGCCAACCTCGACAAGTGCGAATTTGTCCGGCAAGAGCTGGAATACTTGGGCCATTTTATCACACCGGAGGGCATCAGTCCGTTGTCGGACAAGATTCAAGTCATCCAAGAGTGGCCGGAGCCGCGGAACGTCACGGATGTCCGTTAGTTCCTTGGCCTTGCCGGCTACTACCAACGTTTTATCAAGGGATACTCGAAGATCGCGGCCCACTTGACCAAGCTTCAATGCGAGGATCGACCGTTTGGTTTCGGAGAGGATACGCGGGAATCGTTTTTGGCTCTCAAAGCCCTGCTATTATTTGCGGAGGTCTTGCGCATATACGACCCGCTATTGCCAACACGCGTCACTACGGATGCGTACGGCTATGGCATTGGTGTCGTCCCTGAACAACACGATAGCGTGGACTGGCACCGGGTCGAGTACTTCAGCAAGAAAGTGCCCGTCGTGCACTCCATTGATGATGCACGCAAGAAGGAACTTCTAGCTTTCGTCTACGCGCTCAAGCGGTGGCGGCACTTCCTCCTTGGTCGAAGTCAATTCCGATGGGTAACGGACAACAATCCGTTGGTCTTCTACAAGACCCAAAACACCGACAATAGCACCATCGCCCGTTGGATGGCCTTCATCGACCAATTCGACTTCTTTCCCAATCACATTTCGGGGAAGTCTAACCGTTTTGTGGATGCTCTTTCACGGCGTCCGGATCATTGTACCGCAGTCTATTCGACCTTGGAGATCGACGACGAACTGCGGGACAGTTTCATCCGCGGCTACCAAGCCGACCCCGAGTTTTGCGACAAGTACGTGAATTGCTCTTCGGCGCCTTCTCACTACCGGATCCAAGAGGGGTACTTGCTTGTCCACACGCGGGGGAAGGACCTTCTTTGAATACTGAGTGACTCTCACTTGCGTACACGGCTTCTTGGCGAGTTCCACGATGCTCCCGCCACCGGACATTTTGGATTCAATCGAACAATTGGCCGACTTYGCGAGCGCTTTTGGTGGCCTGGCCTTCTCAGCGGCGTCACACGCTATTGCAAGTCATGTGAGGTTTGTCGGCGCTGCAAATCCCGCAACCATCGTCTGTACGGCGAGTTGCGACCATTACCGGTCCCCTTGCGCCGAAGGGAAGCGATTGCCATAGACATTACCGGGCCATTTCCCAAGCACAAAACCGGTGTGGATGGGATTCTCACGGTGGTCGACCGACTCACCAAGTTCGCCATGTTTTTGCCTTGCCGTTATCATGCCAAGGCACCGGAGTTGGCCGAAGTTTTTTACGCCGGTTGGATTCAAACCAAGGGTTACCCCAAGGAAATTGTCTGCGACCGCGACACTCGGTTCATGTCCGATTTTTGGTTGGTGCTCATCAAACGATGGGACTCATCTCTCAAGCCAAGTTCGGCTCGCCACCCCCAAATCGATGGCCAAACGGAGAGGGCGCATCAGACTGCACAGGTTCTCCTTCGCACTATCATCCGTCCCGACCAAAAGGATTGGGTTGAGCAGCTGCCGGATGTTGAGTTGGCATACAACTCGTTCATCCACCCGGCTATCGGGATGTCGCCCTTCGAGTTCGAGCACGGCTCGCCGGTCACTTCTTTGTTGGACACAATCATTCCACGAACGGCCGAGAGCGACGACCATCTTCTTTTCTTGCGTCAGATGCAAGAGCTACTTGTCAAGGCACGCGACCAGATGGCTAAGACGCAGCAACGCATGAGCCAACAGGCCAATCGCTAGCGTCTTCCTTGTGCATTCCGCCCCGGCGATCTCGTTTGGGTTTCCACCACGGAGTTCAGCCTCGATCAAGATATCTCTCGCAAGCTCCTCCTGAAATGGATGGGGCCTTGGCCGATCGTGGCACCTGTTGGGATGCACCCGAAGGACCTTCCTTCATGATTCAGGTGCCCGCCCACTTGCCCGTCTACCCGGTCTTTCATTGCTCCAAGTTGGCTCTTTACACGTCAGCAGATGATGATGATTTTCCCGGGCGACGATCTCAAGACCCACCCTCTATGGACGGTTTTCAAGAGGTTGGCGACATCATCTCCCAACGACGCTACGGAAACAGGCCGACTGAATACATGGTACACTTTGCATACTGCACCCACAAAGCCGACCGTTGGTTGACCTGTGCGGAACTCCAAGCAACAGCTCTAGATGTTCCCGCACGCTACGAACGCAGGATGCAAGGCAAGCCGGTATCTTCGGCTCCACGTCGCACCCACATTCAGGTTCCACCTTCAGATCGTCAGCTTCGCCCTCGACCCGGCTTGACTTCATAAGGAGGGGGGGGTGTTAAATGCTGCGCCTGCAACAGGCTGCACGGCCATTTTCAGGCCCGTGTCGTTTTCAGCCCGAAAGCCTGAAAACAAGGGCCTACAGGCCCTGTGTCGTTTCAGCCTAAAACAGGGGCCCTCCAGGCCCTGAGTCTTTTCAGCCTGAAACGGAGGGCCATTTTCAGGCCCTCATAAGATCGACCTGCCCTGAAACTTAGGCACCAGACCAGGGTTTTCGCACAGGCCATTTTGGGCCTGTTTTCAAGACAACCCTTGTTTGAGCTTCAACGCCAGGGTCTGGCACGTTTTGGCATTGGCAAGAGCAGCCTCCTGGACGGGCCAGCACTATATAAGACTGGCCCACCCTGCAGGCTGCAGGTAGTTCATAGGGACTTCCCAGGCACTTCACGTGCAGTTCAGGGCGCAGGAGGTAGTCTTCAGGATCTGGCAGCAGCACTCTGGAGGAGCGCTGCAGTAGTAGTAGTAGCGTTAGCAGTAGTCTTCAGGGCTGGGCACTAGTAGGAGCTAGACTAGTACTGGAGAGAGAGAGAGAGAGAGAGAGAGAGAGGGAGAGAGAGAGAGAGAGAGAGAGAGAGAGAGAGAGAGAGAGAGAGAGAGAGAGAGAGAG